GTGGTCAGGGAGATCTGATCAGGAAGCCATGATCCACATCAACATGATGGTTTTCTGTGAAGCAAGAAAAAAAAAGGTTTAGAAAACAACTGAGAAACTGAAGTCCTTGAATGGTCACAAAACATTATAAGGATCAATGAAAAGAATGTCTGTTGGGAAAAAAAGTATCTTTAAAAAGAAAAGAAAAAATTATTATTATATATATATATATAACAAATTTATGTAGGTTTTTAGAGAGTCAAACTACTACTTTTCTTCTTCAATATGACATCAGTATAACCCTGGCATTTTTTATTTTATGAGGAATAAAAAAACTTCAAATGTATTTTTGATTAAAATAACAGATAGGACAAAAAATAGCCAGATTTGGCTCTGAAAACCAGAATACATATAAACTCACAGAAGATCACAAAGACATACAGGAGCAATGAGAGCAAACAAGAGAACAAGAACTTTCTGTCAACATGTCAGTGCAACATGGCCAATAACACTGACATTGTTGAACAATCCAAACCACCATGACAACCCAGTGCAGTTTTGATTTACAACTGCTCTCCCTTTCTCACACTCCCCCACACAGGCTGTATTTACTTAAAAGAGTGCAGGGCGACAGAGGAGGAGGTTCCAGGTCAAAAGGCAGCCAGCATTTCTCATCTGCTGTGAGGAAAGAGTTACAGCCCTACAGCTTATGGAAGTAGGACCTTGTGTATGCGTATGTAAAAAGTGTGAGGCTGCTTTTCACAGTGCGCTGGCTTTGCATTATGTATTAGATTTTATATATTATATCAAAAACAGCCCTCTATGTGACCTGTAAGACAGGTCTGAACAATTTTCAAAAATCTGAAAACTTTTGGAACTGAAAATTGGAAGGTAAATATTTATTATGGAATTTTTTTAAATGACAAAATTATATGTGACATGCTTAAATATACATATTAAACTGCAGCCCCCAAAAATGCACGTTTTCTTACATTTTTTTCCCTTCATCTTCGTAGTTCCAAACCATTGCATGTTTTAATATGAACGACTTTTGTCATTAATATACTTCCATATACGTGGTACTGACGTAATTCCTGTGGGTTATTTTTTTCTCTCTATGTAAACAGTCCCTTCTTGTATTTTTGTGCCAAAGTTACACAGTTTACTGTCTTTACATGTTCATCACAGGATTTTAAATAAAACGTTGAGATTTTATCTTAGTAGTTTAACAATAACATGTATAATGTTTAAGTTTTGTACCTAAACTTACTTAAACATTTATTTTGGTGCAAAGTCTACCTCCACAGACTTCCCTTATAGGAGCACTACAGTAAACTGTGGCATGAAGCACACACACATACGCCTCTATTCAAACCCAGGAGGTTTACGGGTGGGGCCTGTGGCTTTGGGAACTGCTGGCTTGTGCATTAGAACATAGCGGGGCAAGAAACAGAGGCATAGGCTCCTCATAAAACACTACTCATACAAAAGCCCCCTTTTTATTAGCTCAGCTGATAAAAAATGTTGAGACTATTAGGTTTGCTGCAAGCAGGGTGGGTGCACAAGTGTTTTTAATAAATATATATACACAGTGGCGGGGCTTGACGGGGCTATAGCCCCATCAGAATCTTGCTTAGCCCCAGCACAGCCCCCCCAAGGATTTCCAAATGATGTTCCTGTTTTTTGGTGTCACTTTCATTAACATTGAAAAATAAACATTAAAACCCTAAAAAAAAGTGCCTAATATGTGGCCTATAAACAATTGATATTATGGGGGAGGGGTCAAGCAACACAAGCAAGCAACGCACAAACTGTGCGCAAGAGTTACGCCGGTGAACGTCAGTCAATTCACTGTAGAGAAAGTGAAAGTTAAAAAAACTGACGGAGCTTTCTAACGTTGCATTAAAGTCGGCATGAAATCAAAATTGACTTTATTTACTTTACTAGTGCACATTGCTAGTCTTGATGAGAACAATTAATCCGTGCAAGTTAATCCGCTGAAAAAAATTGTTTGTCTTGGTAATCTTTAATCAAAATCTGAACATTTGCTTCCGCTCTGGAATGGCAGTCCTTCTCTGATGATGTCAGTTTGACGGCTTGGGCAGAATATCCTTTTAAACACACCCCTCCAACCGTTAGCTTGATATGAGTGAGAGACAGAGAGGAGGAGCGCCAAAATAAAACCACGCCCTCGATTCAATATTCCGTTTCAGATGGAAATACGTCACTACACTGAAATAAAGTCGGCAGCAACTTCTAGTTCACGCGGACTTTAACGGCGCATATTCTCTAAAACAACGAAAGACGAAACTACTTGAACATATGCTGATAACGGTATATAACTGTCTTAAATTATTCCCTTAATATTTGTCTTGTGGCCCGTATAGTGAAAAACATGAGAAGAAATGTATTTCGCGTTAAACAGGTTGTTTTTTAAAATCGGTCCACGAAATAAAGCTGCTCTTAATTTTCATTGATGACTGCAGTGTTAATAATTTTAATTATAGGCCTATAATTCTATAAATTATTAGACCTGTTTAAAAAAAACTTTTTAAAAACATTTTCAATGAGGAGTAAGTATGGAAGAAAAATAATACCATATGTCTTTGAAACAAAAAAGCATGTTGAATGGCACTAATTGAAAAAATAATGCATTGCATTAACAGTGCTTGCATTTTAATGCCATGTATTTCCAGGGCTTGCATTTTTAGGTCCTGAAATCTAACATAGTTGTTTATTGAAGCTGTGAATATTTCCATTCAAAATATTTCACACACATTTTCATAATTAAAAATTAAATCATTCATATTCACCTTCCAGAATTCACTTCCAAAATATTCAATCTGTTTAAAAATACGATGTATAATATTCGACAGGCAATTTTCGATCCATTTTATTTCACTTTACAAATTCGCTTCCTATATATATATGAATTAATATTTAAGAAATTTTAAATCATTTGCAAATGAATTAAAAAAAATAAATGTGTAAAATAAACATACTTTAGATGACAACAACTTGATTCTGTAACCCTATTTCAATATTTTTCACAAATAAATAAATATTTAAAATATCAATAAAAAGGAAGTAAGCACTGTAACCAACAGGGCACTCAGTAATCTGGGAAGTTTGTGTGCACTGGGTCTAGGAATCATATTTTTTCAAGTAAAGCCAAGGTAACACTCATTTAACAAACAGCACACAGTGAAAGTGACATGAATATGACAGTGGGCAAATGGATAAAGCGTAGCACAGTTCATGCACGCGATCATGCAAGATACAAATGCACACTTCACAAGATCTCACAGCTGGATTCGATTAAGTCTGAAAGGTTTGTGAAATTAAATGTTTATTAGACATTCAAAGATTTGTTTAAATGATATAAAAACATATTTGCTGAATGCTGATGGTAAACAAGAAAGTACTATAATGTTTGCCTTTCTAATACCAATAATATAAAAGCAATCGTTATAATACTTTTTTGTATACCTTTTAGTTCCTTTGTGTTAACAGCTCTATCTGATTATTATTAGACAGACTTCTATCCACATTAGACAAATGTGTTAAACGGTGACCGCAAACAATAAAGAGGGACAATGTGAGCGCTGTGTGCGACGGTGCTGCGGTTCTCAACGGCGTCAAAATAAAAGTCCCGCTTCGAACACATCGGCCAAACAGAAAAACTTATCGGCCAATGCCTATATTTGAAAAATCTAAGGCCAAATATCGGGCGATATATATAGGTCGAGCACTATTCAATGTCACTGGGTGTCTTTTGTGATCTTCAGCTGACATGTTGGAGGCAAAGCAGTTGTCGTGCCAATGAGCTCCTGCAAGGGTGTGAAACAGCAAAAACAATGCAAGTGAGAAAATTCATTCACAAAAACTGATCTGCAGAAATGGAGCAAGCGCTAAGTAGAGGTTTTGATTATTGGGGCCAGTATAAACATGTGGAAAAGCTGATAGTGTGTATGTTTAATTCAACGTCTTCGTTGTTTCCTGTAGCCTACATGTAAGCAGCTTTCTCTACCACAAATGAGATTATAATGCTATTTTACCCAACGCTGAAGTACAGAACTAACAACATCTAAGGAAGACATATATTGTGGTTTCCGTAACTTTGTATCATGGCTTTTGTGACACTGTGTTGTAATACTGGGATTCCCCTCATACGTCACACTCCATGATTCCCCGACGACGCGTAAGGCCTCAGTGAACTAATACAGTGATATAAGACCTCTATGTTAAATTAAAATTTCAGGACCTAAAAATGCAAGTCCTGGAAATACAAGGCATTAAAATGCAAGCACCGTTAATGCAATGCATTATTTTTTCAATTAGTGCTATTCAACATGCTTTTTTGTTTCAAAGACATATGGTATTATTTTTCTTCCATAAGTAAGCTAATAGCCTAAACTTTAATTATCCTCACAGCGCGTCATGCGGTGATGCGCTATGAAATTATTGCGGGGCAATAATTTAATGTAATTTAATAATAAAAGTAACATAATAATAATAATAGGCCTAATAATAAGATGAATGTAACAGGCCTACATTAATTGGAAATGCTAAATCCTCTTAATATTGCCTATTTTTGATGCTTTTGACCATATCTCTGGCTATCGTCGACACATGATACGATGCAATTTAGCACGGGGAGGTTATCGTGACGGCTCCCCTTTACTTTCACTCAATTTATTTAGTTTTTTAGCACCTCCTCTGAACTGTTAATCCCCCCCTTAGCACCCCCAACAAAAAAATCCTGGAGCCGCCACTGTGTATTGTTAATAGAATAATGTAGCAGCAA